CACATTCACAAGCTTTAGAGATGCAAGAACCCTGTGAACATGGAAAAACTGTGAATACTGTACAGTAGAGTGCACAGCAAGAACAGAAAGGCAAGCCTGACTGCCAATCCCATAGCTGCTGCCCCCTTCTTAAAGCCCAGGACCCTGTGTACATTCACATGATAGCCCCATCATCAGGAGGTGAGTGGAGGTGCAGGAGTCATCACTACCAATGCTGCACTCATTGTAAGCTTCGGAGAAACCCAAGGCTTTTAATATGTAAAACAATCTTTGAGGGGAAAAAATCTCAAGAGTGGAATTCACAAATATCCCAAAAAGCAAAGAATACCTTAAAAGGGCATGAGCAGCTGGCATGTCCTAACCAAGGACATTCCATATGCCAACATTCTGTTGAAGATCCCACTTCTGGAAGCATAGTGTTCTCATTTAAGCAATCATTAGATATAAAACTCAATTAGTCAGTATGTTACATAACCTTTTCAAAACATGGAAGCTAAGTTGGTTTTGCACAAGCAATTACTATGCCCTTTGATCAGTTCTATAAGACATTCTAGAAACAAAGACACCTGGCAAAATAATGTCCACACTAGAAGTCTGAGAAGATATATCAGAATAGTGCTTTTTGATAGTAAATGAATAATTAACAATTTAGTGAACTTTTTCCCCCTTTTCTCTTTTTATCCATTGTAACTAAAATTCTAATAAAGATACTATGAATATGAAAAACAAAACAAAAAAACAATTTAGTGAACTTTTATATTTAGCTGTGCATGAAATCCCATGCCATTCTGGAATTTGCAACAAATCTGCATGGATTAACATTTCAACAAATCAGTGTATTTGAGAAAGACACAAATGCTAATCTCTGGTCTAAATTAATGAAATTTCTACTTGCACATGTGCACAAAGAGTACTACACCTTCACTATAGTCATTTACTGAGTGGAAGAAATAGCAGTATTATATATTTTGTTGGATTACAACTCCCATTAGCTCTAGCCTGCACAAGCAAAGGTGGGAGATGATAGCAGCTGTAGTTAGATAACATCTGGATGGCCACCAATTCCTCACGTCTCAATTTTGTACAATGAAAATTACACAGCATTTCATAACCAAGTAAGAAAGATGGCCCACTAACTTTCTTATACATTGTAAGCCATTCAGCCATTCCCTCACCCTTGGAAGAAAAGCAAAATATAAATTATTTTTAAAAGAAAATTTAAAAGAAATTACAACCATATTGAAGTCTTTCTTATTCAACTAGCAGTGCTATAATAACATTTACTTCAGTAAGCTTTAATTACATTAATTGTATTGTTATCTAGTTAAATTAACTGTGGCATGAGAGGCAATTTACATGTTGCTTATTTGTTTTATTTGTATCAGCAACCTAGTAACACAGTTCTCTGAGCAATTCACAAAAATACCATTTACTGTGTCTAAAAGAATGCTATATTTAACATTGCCTACACACCTCTAATGACCTCTTTGAGCTGCAAGGATAACAGTTCAGTACAAGCATAATGATCCCTTCCATACCCACATAAGTTAATTATATTTAAGACTTTCTAATCTCTTACAAACTACAATATATTACATATTTCATGTGCTGAGAAGTATACTAGATAAAAAATAAGGCTTTTGCCAATTTTCCTGTTCTAGAAATTTGAAAAAGGTAGCTATTTAACATGCATATGTTTAATTATACAGAACTTGCCAGAAAAAAATCCTGAGTAAGTTGTAAAAAATTTTAAGAACAGCAATTGGTCTGGTTTTTTTTTAAAAAAACCCTCCTCAAGTTAAACATTTTCATTCAAAAACATCCCTGAAAATTTTTCATCAGAGATGTATTTTGATATTTCTATTGTTTGAATAAGGACTATGTTTAGTCTGTCTGACTGAAAAGGGAAACTTGGGGATTTCAATCATTGATGTCTAAAGACACATGAAACAGAAGTATTCCAACAATATGGAGTCAACAAGAAGAATTACAAGCTACTTCCACTTTGATTTCATATGTATCAGAAATGACATTGCCATAGATTTATAACCTGAACTCTGGTGTTTCAGTAACATAGAGTTTGAGAATGGTGCTTCACTAGAATAGTATCTAGGTCACTGTCTAGAATGTGATTAGTGAAATCGCTAAAGCAGCTCATAAATGCTTTCTTTCTTTAACTTTTAAAAAACCCTAACTAATTTCATGTCCTGAGATGTTTTAACAAGAAGAGCAGTTTTAAAGAGGTCAAGATCAGATACTTTTTGTAGTTTCCTATAAACAAAGGCAAAGACTGTTGTCAGCTGTTATTCTATCTTCTACCTCAAGCAGGTGATATTAAGAGCGCCTGCATAGCAGCTCCCTTATGGCTGATAAGTCCTCTGGCTAAAAAAGACAGTTGGTAGCTGTCTCGTTTCACTTGACACTCCATTCAGATAAGTTTCAGCTGAGGCCACTGCAACAAAACAACCAACTCCCTAGAGCTGGAACCTTTTCTTTCTAACTTCCTTTAAAGCTTGAAGCAATGTTAAATAAAAGGACAAACTGTATCAGCCATCACAAATGCAACAAAATGTCTCTATTGCCTAAAATGATTTTCATTTCAACTAACAAAAATAATGCTTTGAAATATATAAATTAGAAATTTTCTTAAAAAATACACTGCATAAAATAAAATGTGAAAAAGAAAGAAGATGAACTAGCATTGCCATTGAAGAAAACTGAAATATTACAGATCCTTCATCCCACAGATGTGCTAACCCGCGATCTGCGAACTAGTGATTCTATCAGTGTTCCTCCAGCAGCTGTTCTACATTGATTGGAAATGCTGCTAGAGCTGAAACTCTGAAAGGAAAGGATCCAGCACCAGGAGAGCTCCTGTTCAACTCAAAGCCAGTACAAAAAAAGAAGAAGCAAAATCAAGAACTGGCTCATCAACCCTGTGATGATAGATCCAACACCCATCCTTAATCAAGGTATGATGCTACAGTAGGACTATTCTGGATCAGGCAATTTGATCTTACTAACAGCTTGATTTTATCCTTAAGCCTATCACTTTCAAGCTACACCTAATTCTGCACAGGAATGGATAGCAAGTGCTAAGTCAGCTGACTTTACATCAAGCACAACAACGTAAGCTAGAAGAGGTAGAAATTTTCAGTAGTATCAAATTTCCAGTCCAATAACGTTTCCTGATCTATTATTGATCCTCCTGAGTTGCAAGGTGCTATGACCAGAAACATTTGTCTTTAGCTTCAGGTGATTCACCAACAATCGTTTCCAGAAGCAATTTCTGGCTATATGCTTGGTTATAACAGTGCTGATTATTATCAAGCACTCTACACAGATTTGTCTTTGAAGAATGTTTGGAAAATGCAGCCTGCATTGCATTTTCCAAAACAACTGCAATCCAAGTATTCTCCAGTTTAAAACAATAGGTAAAAAGCATTCCCAAACAGCACAAAACATCATGCCCCCTTCCCAACACAAGTTTCCATTTAACATTGAGGAGGGGTCAATGTTGTTTTCTATTGCTCTAAAGACTAAGACATGGCGTAATGGAGGGAAATGTTCCACCTTAAAATCAGGAAGAACTTCCTGATGGCAAGAGTTGTTTGGCAATGGAATATGCTGCCTCAGAGTGTGATGAAGTCTCCTTTTCCTGAAGTTTTTCAACAGAGGCTCAACGGGCATCTTTTGGGAGTCCTTTTGACTGTATTTTTCTGCATGGCCGGAGGTTGGTCTGGATGGCCTTGTGGTCTCTTCCAACTCTATGATTCTATTATTCTAACATTCCCAAACCACCCAAATCCAACCAAACAACATAAAGGCCAATCCAGAAATACACTTCTGATCATATTTGGGTATGAAAACTGAGTTGCACAGCAGTTGTTTATTCCATGGTCCAAAATACTGTCAGTCTAGTACAAGCATAGGCATACTTTGGCCCTCTGGGTGTTACAGACCTCAACTCCCACAATTCCTAATTACTGGCTCCTAAAAATTGTGAGAGTTGAAGTCCAAAACACCTGGAGGGCCAAGGTTTGCCCATGCTTGGTCTAGTACCAGGGACACATTATTCAGAGCACATTATACCCCTCCATTCTTCAGGGAAATAATGATTTTTCAGTGTACACAAAAATGCTTGGACACAATAGGGCACAAATACCTTATAGCTGCAGCTACCGTTCATCTAATGTAGATGAAATACCACAGATTGTACAAATTTCCGTTTACCTCCTAATTCAGATGCAAATGTCAATCAGAGCAGCACAGAAGCCCTATAAATGTATAGTTTCCCAATTTTCCTCTATCTTTTCTCATTCTTAGTAATTACTTTCATTTCTTGAGAAAAAATATTTTGAGAAAACATTTACAACCTTTGCTCCCTGGTAACCTATCCTGTACATATAAAATCTTTCCAAGAAAATAATCTTAACTAAAATTACTTCACTATAATGGCAAACTGTCACAACAATAAAGAAATAACAAGAAATGGACAATAACATAACTTTTCCATCCCTCTCCTTTGCACAATCTCCCTCTTGACCAGTCATAAAGAAAACAAATATCTATTTTTATAGTCTTGCACATTGGTATTTTGGATTGCTTCCAACCATTTTGTTCAGGACTTTACAAATAAATGCAAGATACACAAATTATTTCAGCACTTTCACCTCATTAAAATCAGTTACAAACAACAAGATAATCAAGGAGTCAATCCAGTCACAAGTACATCTGTTAAAATCTAATAAACAATTCCAACAACTTTCCAGATATTTTTTCCTCAACTCTAGAAGGTAATTGTGATATTCAGTTACAAGGCTACCAATGTTTTGTTCACACAACTCAACATTCAGTGTTGCAGGTTAATGTTCCTTGTTTATATCACTGCAATTAAATATAAAATATGTGCCAGAACACCCTTTTCCTAAATAGAGGTGAGTTTCTGAAATAGCTGATACTTCACCTTCCTTGAAAATATAAGCTTAGATGTATTTTACCTGTTTTCTCCTTGTTTGTTGTTTGAAGGTGGAGGATGCAACACAGTCTGATTCCCTTCCATCTCAACAATGCACTTGGTATTCAGCTCCAGTTCTGGAACATGACAGAACAGAGAAGTTCAGAACATTCCCTTGCAGAATGATACGGACTTCATCCCTAGCCAGCAAGCCCTTTCCTGTTTCTTTCTCATGCTGTCCAGAAAACAACTCCCACTTGTTGTATGAGTATAGGAGATATGGGTGTGTTGCTTCCCCCCCCCCACTCCCCTACTCCATCCCATCCCTCATAAAACATGGAGCAAGAAGTTGGGAAGCCTTGAGATTAACCGAGGCTGTCCATTATTGCAGCCAGCGTTCTTTCTGAACCATGGGAAGACAGGCAATTTCCCAAACAGTAAGATACTCCCACAGCAGTTTTCACAGAAGTAGCTGTTATTCTCTTTAAGAGTAACTACACCAATTAAGCAAATTCTCCTTATCCATTGATTCTGCATCCACAGATTCAACCATCCAATAGTCAAACCTTGATTTTAAAGATTCCAAAAGACAAGTCTTGATTTTGCCATTCTGTACCATTTCACTATGTGATTATCTATAACAGGACTTGAGAATCCATGGATTTTTGACGTCCATGGGGGGTCCTGCAACCAAACCCAAGCAGATACCAAGGGCATGCTGTCCTCTTAAAAGAGCTGCCCTATTTTCTTCCACTCCCTTCGTCTTTTTGTATGCTTTTTTCAGCACTTCCACTCTCTTTCTGAATCCTGTATTGCTGCCCCAAACATGAGACCATGCTGTTGTATACTATACTAGTTCACAAATCATTTCTGTGGGCTTATTACACTATGTAAATGTCATTTCCTAATCAGTTCTATCATAAAAGCATGGGAAAAGTTTATTAAACTGCAAAAACTTTGTTTCTGATTGAGGGACATCCTGCAGCACATTCGGCTATAGTTTTTCAATGAATCTCTCACAGGGTCTCAACCAATTCAACATAGTTTGTGGCAGCCACAAAAAACAAAGTTTTTGGAGTATAAAAACTACCATAGATTCAGGGGTACTAGATGACTTTTAATGCCTGGAAAATCTTATTAAAAGTTGGGGTTCATCTAGTATGCTGGGTATAAATTAAAATAATAAGTTAAAGAAAAAAATAAAATTGCCCTTAGTGGCGTGGCTTGAGGAGGGAGGGAGGAGGAGGGTGGAGGGAAGGAGGGCATGGGGAGGAGGAGTGACAGGCCATATTGACACAGAGACCAGCTGGGGTGATGACCCACTGGGCTTTCTCTTTCCTTCCATTCAAGGACCTCCTCTGCCCTTGGCGCTTATCTCCTCTGAAGGCTTGCCTAGGCCCAAGGAAGTGTCTCTGGACACAGACTCCTAGCAGCGCTGGGCAACAGCGCGCCTTGGATGTTCTCCCAGAGGCATGCTGGGAGCAGTAGTTCCTTGAATTCTTGGGAGCAATTCCAAGGCACGCCGTCGCCCAGTGCTGCTTGGAGTCGGCATCTGGAGGCCCCATTTACTTGGGCCTAGGCAAGCCCAGTGGCCTTCAGAGGAGGTAAGCAGCGAGGGCGAGGAGGTCCTTGAACGGTGAGCGGTGGGGGCCGCAGGGGCATAGTCTTCGAAGAGGGGGATAGTCTTAAATGGAGAGTATATCCCTAACTCTGTATTTTATCATCAAAAGTTGGGGGTCATCTTATACCCCCCCCCTTTGCCTTGTATTCCGGAATATACGGTACTTTCAAAGTCAGGACTGCACAATTAAACAGGAAATAGCATTTTGAACCAGGAACAGAACGTTTAATTAATGATTCATTCACCCCTGTTGGCGCAGCGGGTGAAACCACTGAGCTGCCGAACTTGCTAACCAAAAGGTTGGCTGTTCAAATCTGGGAAGAAAGGTGAGCTGTCAGCACCAGCTTCTGCCAACCTAGCAGTTCGAATACAGCGCTGATTGTGTTTAAGTGCAGGCCAAGGTCTTTAGGCACTTGCACCCAGTGTGCCAATCACCACTGGGACCACCTTGACTGGCTTGTGCCAGAGTCTTTGCAGTTCGATCTTTAAATCCTCATATCGTGTCAGCTTTTCCAGTTGTTTCTCTGCAATCCTGCTGTCACCTGGGATTGCGACATCGACAATCTATACTTTGTTTTTTAACATGATCATGAGGTCAGGAATATTATGCTCCAAAGCTCTATCTGTCTGAATTCAGAAGTCCCAGAGGAGTTTGACATGTTCATTTTCTGCAGGCGCGATTGGTGGGGACAAGGGAGAGGGCCTTCTCGTTGGTGGCCCCCCGACTCTGGAACTCGCTTCCCAAGGACATCAGGCATGCCCCAACTCTGGCAGTCTTTAGGAGCTTGAAAATCTGGCTGTTCCAGTGTGCCTTCCCAGAATAAAGAAAATTCTCAGCAACATTCCCTCAGAATGCCCTTTACTACTGCGTTCCCCTCATTTCTCTTGAAAACCCTATACCAGTTATATCCTACCTTCTTCATGTCCAGCGTTTATTTTTTAATTTTAAACTTTTACATTTGTTTTTTAAATTTTGGTGTTACTGTTTATTGGTTATTGTTTATATGTGATTTATTTTAATTGTATTGTATTTATTGTTTTTGTTTATTGCTTTTGTTTATTGATGTACTGTTGGGCTTGGCCTCATGTAAGCCTCTCCGAGTCCCTTGGGGAGATGGTGGCGGGGTATAAATAAAGTTATTATTATTATTATTATTATTATTATTATTATTATCGATTATTATTATTATCTATATATATATAAATGCTCTGTGCATAATGAGTACCTTAAAAACAAAAGAACCAATGAACGAAATCACACCAAATTTGGCAACAAAACGTCTCACAACACAAGGAGTGACCATCACTCAAAAATTATGATTTTGTCATTTGGGAGTTGTAGTTGCTGGGACTTATAGTTCACCTACAATCAAAGAGCATTCTGAACTCCATCAACGATGGAATTGAACCGAACTTGGCACACAGAACTCCCATGACCAACAGAAAATACTGGAAGGGTTTGGTGGACATTAACCTTGAGTTTGGGAGTTGTAGTTCACCTACATCCAGAGAGCACTGTGGATTCAAAAAATGATGGATCTGGACCAAACTTGGCACAAGCACTGAATACACCCAAATATAAACACTGGTGGAGTTTAGGGGAAATAGACCTTGACATTTGGGAATTGTAGTACTGAGATTCACAATTCACCTACAATCAAAGAGCATCTGAACCACACAAACGACAGAATCAGGGCCAACTTTCTACACAGAACCCCCATGATCAACAGAAAATACTCAAGGCCATCCAGTCCAACTCCCTTCACCAGGGCAAGAAAACGTAATCAAAGCCTTCCTGACAAAGAGCCATCCAGCCATATAGATAGATATGATTCACACACACAGAAATATAGTGTCATAGATTTGAAAGGGGCCCCTAAAGAAGGACAATTATACTTTGCATGTTCCAGAGTAGTCAAACCAGACACTCTGTTGATGTGGAGACACTCTCCACATCAACACTGACAAAGAAACAGCAAGAAAAACTGTTTACCCACAAACATAAAGAAATTACATATATTAGAAACCAACATTTTCTCATTTCTTTATTTTCTAGATCAACAGACTGGGCCACAGCAACGCGTGGCAGGGGATGGCTAGTTATTATTATTATTATTATTATTATTATTATATGCATCCCACCAGTTTCAGACTTGTACCATGAAAAGAGAAGAGGGGGGAAGAGGAGGAGAGAAGCCAACGTGGAAGAAGAAAGAGGCACAGGTCGGGAGATTATCTAAGGACAAACGGTCCTAGGATGCAACAAGAAGAGTCCTCTTGCGTTTCCCTGCATCTCCAAACCCTTCTGTGAGGATGAGCCTCAAGGAAAGCCTTTGGGTCACATTCAGAAGAGCTACAGCAGGCATGGGCCAAGTTGGGCCCTCCCTCCAGGTGTTTTGGACTCCAACTCCCACCATTCCTAACAGCCTCAGCCCCCTTCCTTTTCCCCCTCAGCCGCTTAAGCGGCTGAGGGGGAAAAGGAAAGGGCCTGAGGCTGTTAGGAATGGTGGGAGTTGGAGTCCAAAACACCTGGAGGGAGGGCCCAACTTGGGCCAATGCTGAGCTACACCCTCTTCTCTAAACTAAACACACAACAGGTCGCCTCCTCCAGAGGCGAAGAGCAAAAGTCCTTCTTCTCCCTCCTGACGGCGTGATTACCTCTCCTGTTCATGGGCCGGACCCGGACTGCCACTTTCACCTTGGTGTCCGACATCTTCCCCGGCTTGGCAGGCTGAGTCTTGAGGCGGCGCTGCTTTCCCCTTCCTTTCTCCCTCTCAGGGCAGGGCAGGGCGCCGCGGGGCCTCCCTCACAAGCCCGGCGCCGGGGTCCATGCAGAAAGACCAAGGGAGAGGAGAAGGCGCGCTCAGTCCCCGCCGCCTCAGCGCCGCTTGCGCCAGGAGCCCGGGCGCTGCCCGTCGTCGTCGTCGTCGTGGTCCCGCTTCAGCTCCTGAGGCGGCGGCAACAGCAGCAGCACCGGCGGCAGTCGCCTCTCCCCCGCCCCAACCGCCATCTTCCAGCCCCCGCGGCGGCGGCGGAGGCGCCCTCCTTGCCTGCTCACCAGTCTCTCTCTTTCCCCCCTCACGGCTGAGATTCCAGGCACAGGCAGGCAAGCGGTTGGGCGGGAGGGGAGGTCGGAAAGCGACGGAGAGAGCCGAGCGCCTTCGGCAAAGAGGGAGAAGGGGGAGAGATGGGTACAACGGGAGAGTCGGAAAGAGAGTGACGGAAAGAGCCGAACGCCTTCGGGGGAAAGAAACGCTATGGGGAGAAGGAGGAGGGGTACAACAGGACGAGGAAGGGAGAGGTCGGGAAGTGACGGAAAGAGCCGAACGCCTTCGAGGGAAAGAAAGCTACTATGAGGAGGATACAACGGGACGAGGAAAGGAGAGGTCGGGAAGTGACGGAAAGAGCCGAACGCCTTCGAGGGACTAAAAGCTACTATGAAGAGGATACAACGGAACGAAGGGAGAAATCGGGAAGTTTCGGAAAGAGCCGAACGTCTTCGGAGGAAAAAAAAGATACTACAAGCAGCGCTCCATGCAGTCATGCTGGCCACATGAATCATAGAATCAAAGAGTTGGAAGAGACCTCATGGGCCATCCAGTCCAACCCCCCTGCCAAGAAGCAGGAATACTGTGTCATGCCAACCACATGACCTTGGAGGTGTCTACGGACAACACTGGCTCTTCGGCTTAGAAATAGAGATGAGCACCACACCCCAGAGTCGGACACGACTGGACTTAATGTCAGGGGAAAACCTTTACCCCTACGAGCAGGATACAACGGGACGAGGAAGGGAGAGGTCGGGTAGTGACGGAAAGAGCCGAACGCCTTCGGGGGGGGGGGGGGGAAGCGACAGGGAGAAAGAAGAAGAAAGAGGCACAGGACGAGGCAGGGAGAGGTCGGGAAGTGACGGAAAGAGCCGAATGCCTTCGGGAAAAAAAGCTACTATGAGGAGGATACAACAGGACGAGGCAGGGAGAGGTCGGGAAGTGACGGAAAGAGCCGAACGTTTTCGGAGAAAAAAAAAGATTCTACGAGCAGCGCGCCATGCAGTCATGCAGGCCACATGACCTTGGAGGTGTCTACGGACAACGCTGGCTCTTCGGCTTAGCAATGGAGATGAGCACCACACTAGACTTAATGTCAGGGGACATTACCCCTTTACCCCTACGAGCACGATACAACGGGACGAGGAAGGGAGAAGTCGGGTATTGACAGAAAGTGCTGAACGCCTTCGAGGAAAAAAAAGATACAGGGAGGAGAAAGAAGGTACAACGGGACGAGGAAGGGAGTGACGAAAAGAGCCGAATGCCTTCGGGCGGAAAAAAGCTACGGGGAGAAGGAGGAGGAGGGGGTACAACACGACGAGGAAGAGAGAGGTCGGGAAGTGACGGAAATAACCGAACGCCTTCGAGGAAAAAAAAGATACAGGGAGAAAGAGGAAGGTACAACGGGACGAGGAAGGGAGAGGTCGGAATGGGACGGAAAGGGCCGAACGCCTTCGGGGGGAAAAAAAAGACACGGGGATAAGGAGGATATAGTTGGAAAGTGACGGAAAAGCCGAATGCCTTCGGGAAAAGGCCGGGGAAAGGGAGGGGGGTGCAAAGAGGGGGAGAAGGGTACAACGGCAGGCCAAAGAAGAGGTCGGAAAGTGACGGAGATGGCCGAACGCCTCTGGCCAAAAAGGCAAAGGAGGGGGAAATGAGTGCAACGATAAAAATAAGAATGACGGATAGAACCGAACGCCCTTGGCAGTGAAGAAGAGGGACAGAATGAGCCGAACTCCTTATAGGCAAAGCAGTAGGGGAGGGGGAGGGGGAGAAGTCGGAGGGTGACGGAAAGAACCAAACGCCTTCGAAAGAAGAGGAGGTCGAGCGTCTCCAGGCAACTTCGGGAGGCGCTGTGTGGCCCGCCCGCGCGCCTGTATGGTTGAGCCGCGGACGCGTTGGCGCACGCGCAGAAGGGGAATGGTCAGGATGGGAACATTCCCACCCCTCCCTCCTTCTCTCTTCTGGATGGGCGGTGGTGTCAAGTTGAAGAGGGGACTGGGGAGTAATTAAAAAAAGTTGACATTGCGATGAGCAGCAAGGCAAAAGAGGGCGGTTGCTGCTGCTGAGATTGTACTAGGCAGCCTGATTTTGGGAGGAAACTTCAGGAAAGTGGGGGGAGCCTCTGAAGACGTTGCGAGAAACGTGAAATAAACAGAAGGACGGGCTGAAAGTCCTGAAGAGCAAGATGACAAAGAGCCTGAACTCCGTCTCACGTCTCATGTGAGCCTTGACTCATCAGGATAAGAACAATAATGACCTTAATGTAGGGCAAAGGGGCAACTTTTTTGCGAACATGGACCAGGAAGAAAATGGTTTGCCCGATAGGAATCACCTTAGCTTGTCTGCCTCTCTGATCTTCTTTTCCCTCCCCCGTCTCAATTTTCTTTTCTGCCTTAGCTCGAAAATAATCTATATAAATAAAAATGTAATGTTCATTTGTAGGATTAACATAACTCAAAAACCACTGGACAAATTGACACCAAATTTGGACACAATACACCTATCAGGCCAACAAGTGACCATCACTCAAAAACACTGAAAAACACAGTGGAAGAGACTTAAAAAGCCAAAAAACAAAAATAATTAGAATGCATGTGCAAAACGACTCCCCCTAGCAAACAAAACACACAATAGCATATCCATACTCTCTTCTGGACTACAGCTCCCAGCATTCCCTAGACCAGGCTCTTTAGGAGAGAAGGATGATCCAAATGCACTGCTTCCAAGCTCCAAGCTTTCTTCTCTTTAGATTTCTTTGAGATCATCCCAATCCATGCATATTTCCAATTTCCTATTCCTCCAGATAGGTAAGAGAGATAAATTAGATAGAGATAGATAGATAGGTAGGTAGATTGATCAGGAGGACTGCTGGGAGTTGCAGTCCAAGAATAGATAGAGAAGGGAGAAAGGGGAGAAAGAGGAAGGGAAAGAAAAAAAGGGGGCAGGAAGGGAAGAGGAAGAGAAGGAAGGGTTACCTTTGAAGACGGCCCGGAAGCTCCAATTAGTCCAACGCTCGGCAGCCATGATACTAACAGGAGCAGAGCTCAGGGAGCATACAACTCCTCTGCTGCACCAGCTCCACTGGCTGCCGATCTGCTACCGAGCTCAATTCAAAGTGCTGGCGCTGGCCTTTAAAGCCCTAAACAGTTCTGGCCCAACTTACCTATCCGAACGTATCTCGGCCTATCAGCCCGCCAGGACCCTAAGATCTTCTGGGGAGGCCCTGCTCTCTATCCCGCCTGCTTCACAGGTGCGGCTGATGGGGACGAGAGACAGGGCCTTTTCTGTGGTGGCCCCGCGGCTATTATGCTTTTAAACTGTATATTGCCGATTGTTATATTTTGTTGTAAACCGCGCTGAGTCGGCGGCTAGGCTGAGAAGCAGCGGTATACAAGTATAGCAAATAAATAAATAAATAAGGAAGGAAGGAGAGAATGAAAGAAAAAAAGGGAAGGAAGGGAAAGTGGAGGGAAGTTTGGCCACAGCAACGCATGGTAGGTACAGCTAGTACATAAACAATACACATTTATAAATAGGATACATTTCATCCTGGCTTCCTTTGGTTCTTGACCACTGTAAGTGATGGTTTTCATTTTTTATAACATTTACATAAAAGTAAAAGTGAAGAAGAACAAGATACACTCTCTTAAGCCTATCAGTGTGTCTCTGTGAGCCAGTTGTGGTTTTCAGCCCAGCTCCTGTGGTCTGGTTATTTAGATTATTCATACTTTTATCTCTGCAATCCAGAGAAGGATTGCAAAAATCACTCAGTGCAGTTATCTGGCTATTACTGATGTGAAGGCTGAAGAATAAAGGTTGAGTTTCCCTTGTCCAACATGTTTGGGACCAGAAGTCTTGGGGATTTATTTATTGGATTTTGGAATATCTGTAGATGCATATATGTATATATATTGGATATGAACCTAAGTCTAAACACATTCATTTATCTTTCATAATTTCCTCATACATACACCCTGTAGGTGAATGTATGGGACGAGAGACAGGGCCTTCTCAGTGGTGGCCCCTCGGTTGTGGAACTGCATTTTAAATAGTCACATGATCTGCAGCCCCTCCCACTGCCTTAAGTACATAGAGCAGTGGTTCTCAACCTGTGGGTCCTCAGATGTTTTGGCCTTCAACTCCCAGAAATCCCAACAGCTGGTAAACTGGCTGGGATTTCTGGGAGTTGTAGGCCAAAACACCTGGGGACCCACAGGCTGAGAACCACTGACATAGAGCTAAGGAAACTGCAAACCAAAGAAGACATGCACTTCGGGAAATTAAACAATACATTATAAACAGACATAACATTAAACAAAGGAGGCTTGAGAAGGTTGTTATCTCCAACTTGGAGTGAGACAAGAGTGCTCAACCTGTAATATTTTGCCTAACATTTATCTTGTGTTTTAGTGCAGGCCAAGGTCTTTAGACTGCTAAATGGAGTCCTCACCTGGTTTCTGCTTTAGGCCACAGTCTTAAAGGCTGGCCCACTTGTCTGAATCAGAAAGTATTACTGAGATTATGTAACATCAAGAATGATTAACTGAATTGGCTTGGTTTCCTTATCTCTTTTTTCTTTTATGTCTATTGAACTACAATAGGTAACAACATTTGAAAAATTGTCTGTTCCTGGTTTGAAAGTGTTATTTCCTGTTTAAGTATACATTACTTATTTTGAAAGTAGTTGTTATACACAAGAAACTTTATTTTTGTGGTTTCCACAAACTATATTGAAATTAATAAGAACATCAGCCCTGGCCTTGCTTTACTCAACTGCTGAGTATGCCTGCCCCGTCTGGCATAAATCTGCCCACACAAAGCAGATGAATATAATACGGAATGAGCCGTGTAGAATAATCAAAGAATGTCTTAAACCTACACCTGTTGATAGGCTCTATAAACTAGCTGGCATTGCCTTCCCTGATGTGTGATGAAAAGTTGCTGCCAATTGTGAGAGAAATAAAGTTGAACACTCTGAAAGCCACCCCCTGTCTGGCTATCAGCCTCCTCCCAGTAGACTTAAATCAAGGAATAGTTTCATGAGAACCACCAGTCCTTTGAATGTTCCTCCAGCAACAGCAAGAGTATCCCTCTGGGCAGCAAAATCAGGCAATTCTAACTGGATTCCCCCACCCCCCTGCCCCCCAACGCGCGTGCGCGCACACACACACACACAAGTGT